CTTTTATTTGTTAAAATCCATTCCTGGTCTGTGTGACTTCTTATAGGGAATGGGTTGGTGGCAGCTTAGTTAAAGGGTGGTATATCCCAGTAGGTCTGGGGTTGTCACACCAGGAGTCCCACAATTCTGGGCGGTTCAGGTTGAATGGCGGCAGCAATCCCTGAGCCTCCATTTCTTACAACGGCGGCATATGTCTAGCAAGGTTGCCGCCGTGTGGGCTTGCACCCAACAGCCACCTGAAGCTCTTCCAATAGCTGGAGCTCAAGGGAATCCCGTCCTCGTTGCCACTGTTCTGTAGTGGGTTCTAGACCAATAAAGAGCCGCATCTACAATAGTAATTCCACTTGGTTTACTGCAAAACAGATGTAAAACACACACACAGTCACATATATAAAACCACCGCCCACCACTGGAGGGTTTCCGACCCTCCGTTCTCTATTGGCTAATCGCCCAGCCTCTTTGCTGATTGGGGGAGGGAAAGTTATCCTCTGAGGCTGTTCCTAGGGAGCCAAGCTCAACCACCTGGCTCCAACTAAAACCTGGAGAGGACAATAGTGGAGTTGATCTCAAGACATAACAGAAGGCAATACTCAAGTTATTTTAACACGTGTATTTACAAGGGGGTGCTGATAAGTATTAAGCCTTTCCCAGAAAAAAAAATTGAGCTAGGAAGCTATAAATTGCAGGGTGTATTGGCCAATTTGTCTATATTCAATGGTGCAAAATCAACTACCTGTGATTTTAACATAACTTTCATTTTCCTGTCCAAAGTGAACATGGCGGCACCTCCAGAAAAGTTCATTGTGGAAGAGCATAGGACCATAATCAAGTTCCTCTTTCTCCAAGGGAAAGGTGCAAAGCAGATCCATGATGAAAATGTCACAAACTATGGGTGACAGTGGCCCTTCATGTGCAACAGTTAAACGTTAGGTTGTCAATTTTAAAACTGGCCATTTCGGTGTTGAAAGTGAGAAACCCAGTGGAAGGCCTGTTTCTGTCTCTGTGCCTGCAAATGTGAAATTCATCCATGACGTGATCATAGAGGACCGCCAAATATCAGCCAAAAGTATTGCTATATATCTGAGAATATGTGAGAGAGTTGGTGCCATTAATCACAACGACTTGGAAATGAGAAAGCTGGCAGCAAAGTGGATCCCCAAACTTTTGACAACCAAACGAAAGAGAAAACGTGGAGTCATCGGTGGCTGTTTTGGAACATTTTGCAAGAAATGAGTCAGATTTCCTGGGCAAACTGGTAACTGGTGATGAGATCTGGATCTACTATGATGATCCTGAGACAAAGGAACTAATGCTGCAAATGTGTGTTTACACCAGCAGTCGGAAGAATTTTATTTGCAGGGACTTAAGAAGCTGCAGGACAGATGTCACAAGTGCATTGACTTCCTGGGGGAATACAGTGGACCCTCTACTTACGGAATTAATCTGTATTGGAACAGTGGCTGCTGGTCGAAAAGTCTGTAGGTCGAGTCTCCATGGACCTACAATGCATTGAAAACCGATTAATCTGTAACTGGCCATTTTTGTTCCATTTTTGTTCCATTTTGGTTTTTTTC